CAGGAAAAGTCTGCCAGTCACTTAACAGCACTTACACCTGCATTTAAATAACAAAATAGGATAAACAACCTATAAGTTTGTATAGGCCAAATCCACACAGCACCACCACCCACCACAACACAGCTTTAACCTGAGTCTGCAGCCATGTTAGTGGCTCTGTGAGAGTGTGCTCTGCTTTCAGCTAACATGCTAACATGCTAACAATGACAATGACAGAAGAAGTAGTAATTAAAGAAAGATTTCTCCGATTTAAAGACAGGTTAAACATTAAAAAACAAACAGTTCATTCATTCATTCATACCCGACTAAATGAAAGCTTTTAACAAGTCTCCTGTCCTCGCTGCCTGAAAGTACCTGAAGAACATTTTTTACCCTTGTTCAAAACTGTCAAGATATTTCAGTCTTGATAAAACACATTGACATGGAGCCATTTTAGCTATAAATTACCACACACTCAACACGTCATTAAAATTAACAGTCTGAACAAATATGGAACGAATTAAGTTTCTCAAAGATATAATATATTGCGAGTGTTACTTTACTGGATTGTAATTAGTTCAATTAAGCGTTCTTGTCTATGTTCTAAAAGAAGCCTGGGAACATTCCTCTAGCAGCCGACTGACTGATGTCAGGTGTAAATACTATAACTGTAACTACTGCAACTATAAATTAACCATGACACGGACGAAGCGAGAGACAAATTGTCAGTCTGGTTTCCCTCCCCAGCTGCACATATGAATGTCAAGTATGACATATATTCATCACGCTACTGCTCCAACCTACTGAGGCCTGTGTGTAATTTTCAACTTTGTTTATTTGATTTTCACTGGATGAAGCCTTGACCTTAGAAACACTGAGAGAACGCACCAGCCATAGAGGTGCAAAGGTCACGCTGAGGATGCAGTAACCGAGCTAATCCAGTGGACCAGCCTGTTCCGACAGTTTGTGTACATTCCTCTAGTCGACAACACTCAAATCATCAGCATCTTTGGTTTAAAATATGTAAACATGTCAGATGAAAAGAATTCACTTGTCATGTCATGGCTGTGCTGCTTCCACAATTTGATTTTACGATAGAAAATGTAAAGCCATTAGACAATCAGTAGCTGTTCTGATAGATCCCACTGAAACAGATACACGTTTGTTATTTTCAAATTCAATTATTACAAAAAATGATTATGAAAACTTACTTTTAAATTTAAATGTCTATGATATCACAGAGTGTCTTCATCATAACTCGGCATTAAAGGGGCTGTTTGCAAGTTTTCTCTGCCGCTGAACGTGGTGTCTTGCCAGGAGCTGGTGGTGATGATTGTCGCTTCGCAAGAGCTTCGGCCATCATTGTCTTTATAGTACAAGAGGTTATAATATGTCCTCTGAGCAGCGCTACGTCTTCAGGGCAGATTGGAGGCTGCAGCGAGTAGCTATCGGAAAGTGACGAGACGGGCTGGGGCTAGCTGGTTAGCATGCTAACTTCAGTTGAAGAAAATAAGAAATAGAGATAAGAGTTAACATCGATGCTGCTTTCCACTGCAGCAGACAACTGCTGGTGAGTAAAGGAATGAAGTTTGATGCTAAACTCGCAATGTTTCTTCTAGACTGGTACGTAAACACCTGTTAATGCTAACATTAGCTGTGCAGCAATAACAAAACTTACAAATAGCTCCTTTTAAAAGGAGGCAAAGTCCAAAGAGAAGAACATTTTCTGGATCTGGACCAAGTGGGCTGAGAACATTCAACCTGTAAATTCAGACTTTATCTGATTTGATAGAATAAATGGGGGAGATTATATTAATAATATAATGTGATTTTGCATATTATAGCTTGCTCTTTATCCTTTTTTTCCCCCTTATTTCTTTAACCCTTTGCAGTATCCAAGCTGCAACCTGCGGAGCTGATAAACATAACATAAAGTGAGAAAAACTGCAGTTCCTCAAATGGCCACTTGAGGCTGGTTCTGAAAGTGAGTCAGTCCCCTTAGACTCCCATGTTAAAATCCCCAACTTTACAGCAAGAGATAAACATGTTGCCTGGTTGCCTGGTACAAGAAAACGGTTTTGGATAATTGTGGGTGTGGACACTTCACTTCCTCACATGCTTGGCAAACTGGCATTCACTAAAGTCTCAGCACGTGCCCCACCTCTTTGCACATTTTTGGATTAGCCGGGAGTTAGCGCAGTCAGGCATTGCCAAAATGGTGATAGCGGAATAGCTCAGTATGAGCTTCAAAACCGAAACCTATGACTCACGTCGTGGAGGCCATGTCCATCTTTATTTAAAGTTTAAGGTTTCTAAGGTGAAAGCTTCCCATGTTCAAATGTAAATAATTAAAGTTGTTGCTTATTACTGAGGCTGCAAAATGTTTATTTGCACAATGCTGTGTGAATCCACTTGCAGTAATACCATCAACTGGTTTTTTTGAGTACATATAAAGTGGTATTTTGAAATCCGAAGGAAGCAAATTAAGCCGTTAGTACACACCTTATCAGGAGTGTCGCAAACTTGCACAGGTGATTGTTTCTTACTGTTTAAATAACTGGAAAAATGAGGGATAGTCTGAGGAGAAACGAACTGTAAAAAGGCACAAGCAAAAGTAACAAGCGCAGTCATGTTCATCTACATCATCATCATCATCATCATCATCATCACCATTATGATGCCAGTTAATGAAAAATTTTCCATGCAGGCTTAAATGCACATGATGGACCCGACTCTTGGTGTGTAGCAGGAGATATCCGTCATGCATTCATGCTCCATTAGCACTTTGGAGAGTCGTAACAAATCCTTTGGGCGTAAAGTCACGAGTCACTTCAAGTCGATTTCTGGTGCGTCTAAGCCAAGAAGTTACTAGACAACCTTTGTCGTGTCCCATAATTCGACAGCAAAATGTGGTTTTCCGCCTTTTTTAAATGTGCACATCTGTATTTTTTTTTTTTACAGATGTTTTCTCAGCTCCAAATAGCTCTGAGTTACAGTCCTGCGCCAGTTTATTTACATAAATAAAAAGGTACATATTAATTGCTATGTGAGTAATTAATGAAAATGCCTCATCCAAATACAGCACATGTGTATTTTTTTGTATTTGCTTTTTAAAAAATGAAATCTGTTTTTATATTACTTGTTATGTCACATCCATTGCTGTTATTTGATCATTCTTATTTCATCCTTATGTGCTTTGTAAAGTTTGACTATTCTCTTTATAATTGATTTGTAAGTCTGTGTTGCATCTCAGCAGGAGCCTTTCCTGGTTAATTATAGATTTATATAAAAGGGTGTAATGGTACTATGTTTTGTTCACTTTTAGACACAATTTCAAACGTCCACCTCTGACTTGAGCTGCAAATACCTGCAAGACAAACACTATCTGACACGACTCTGCTTTGGTGAGTCACTGGACCAACCTTCTCCACTGTTGCCTGTGTGCCACCCTCTCATTCTGAATAATTCAGTTTCAAAAGTCTTTATTTTGTTCTTTTAAAGTGTCAAGTAGTTTTATTGCTACCTGTGGTTGTTTTACTTCGTGTGTGTGTGTGTGTGTGTGTGTGTGAGTGAGAGAGAGAGAGAGAGGTCACAGTCACTCCCTCTGATACAGTTACACACTGTAACTTAGAAGTACAGTAATGTCAGTGACGAGGACACAATGTGCTGACTGAGCTGTGGATGAGCTGCTCTTTGTTACACTGCGCAGAGAAAAGAGATGGAACAAAGAGGAAAAGAGAGAGAGACACTGATCTAAGTCCTTCGTTAGGATTATTACGGCCTGTGGAATGACAGATGGGATTTGCTGTAACACACAGTTGTAATTCATCCCCGCAGGGAGCAGAGCTAATTCATTACAGCTTTAATTTTCTTGTAATCTAGTCAACAGTCGAGACAAAAGAGTTTTGTTTGGCAGAAATAACCAACGGAGCGTTTGAAGAGATTTATTCCTGATTCAGATATCCACCATTAACATCTGCTCTGAAAAACTGACTGCAGGTATTCACATTATCGGTGATCATTTAGGTTTTATAAGTTCACGTTAAAACTTTTGAAGTTATTTTTCATTTGTCATTAAAAGAAAAGGGAAAGGTTGTCTACAGATTTACACATCAACATCAGTTTAATAGTTAAATGTAAAAAAAAACAGCCATCACAACTTCACAGAGGCAGAAGTGACGTCTTCAGATTGTCCATTTTATTTACCATCATATATGAAAAAGAAGAGTTGTGAATCCTCACATTTGAGATGCTTGTTCCTGCAAAATTGCTGGGATGACTAATCTATTATCTAAATAGCTGCTGATTAATGTTCTTTACATTAACTAAACGACTAATTTCGACTCTTTGCACGTTTACGTTATAGAAGAATGAAGCGGAAATATATAATTTGTGAGATTTTTATATTTTGCTGCAGTATTCATGTGTTTGCATGATTCTATAATTTTGTTGAGTTTTGACATTCGTTGCTTCGTGGCAACAGACGTTTGAGTCTGTGAGTCACAATGAAATGAAAGTCCTCGTGTGAGGTCAGCTCAGGTAACAATTGTCATCACACTCATCGTCCTGACCATTTCTCCCATGAGTGATCAGGTAATGGCGCCTGTCAGCAGAGGCTAAAGCTCATTTACTCTCAGGAGACAAGAGATTATAGCAGAGGCGAACTGACAGGGGGCTTCCTCTCTTCTGCCTCTGTTACAAAACCATTAGCAGCTCCACTCAGTTACACAAAGCCTCACTGAGACTGAGGAGCTCTTGTCCAGAAATGAAAACAAACGTGTGTGTGTGCGGCCGTAGGACCGTCATCAGGATCTAACCCCCGACAATCAGATTCTGGCCCAAACTAAATTTTGACCAAATACGTATGTACATTTGGGCTGTGCATGTATAATAATTCAAACCTTAATCAACCCTGATGTGGTGTTGATGTCATGTCATATAAGAATACATATAATGTTTAAATACACAAACACAAAAAAAACTAGATACAAACAGGATATAGAACAAAAGCAGACACTGACCTGGACCAGCCTCCAGGACTCTGCGATAATGGCCGCCTGGACTCTGTTGAGGGCAAAGCCATCGATCTCTCTCTTCAGGCGGACGGGAGCTTGTCCGACCTGAGTCAAGAAAAATCAGTCACGTCAAGAGCAACAGGCAACAGCTCCTAAAAGACAACGCGTGTGATTCTGCCACGTTATAATTATTCATCCTGCACATTAGTTATTAGTTAAGGTAAAAGAGTTAATGACAGATTCTTACCAACATTAAATATAGGATTAGGATTATTTTAATATCAATACAGGTCTTTGTATGTTCTGCGTCCTTATTTACCTGATGCCACTGTCTCTGCATATTCTGACATACCAGTACTTGACAGCCTGCGATTGTGTAATCTGCTAACTTTACCTTGGTCATTACAGCATGGGTGGTGTCCATAACATGCGCTGCTGTCTCTGGGTGAGGTACCAGCTCCACCAGTTTGACATAGTAGGGTGGATTCACCTGGGGGAGCACAGGACAATCACACATCATACAGTGGGTACTAAGGGCAGCGTTTACCAATATCACAATTCTTGCTGTCCCTGTCTGTCTCTTCACTGCCTCTACAGCGTCTGTTGTCTTTTTGCTATCTTTTATCCATAGTGACTGACAGTGAGGCGTCAATGAGAGCATGTTCTTTATATAGTATTCATGATGTCTATTAACAGAATGGATGTAGAGTTTACCACCCAACATTACACCACACTATCCCACACCACCACCTTCTCATTACTCATCATTACTCATCAACAACCCAAGTGCTGATGGAAAAGTACAAAACGGTTCCCAACTAATCCCGTTTTTAATCTTAGTGGTGACTCGTAACTACACCTGTCGTTTTGACCTTTTATTAATGGGCGGGTCATTCATTATTGTCCGTTAACGCACTGAGCGCCAGAAAGTTTATAAAAAATATCAGAAAAGAGTTTGAAGGTCACTTTTTGAGATCGACAACTGACACCTTCCATATATTTAAAATGTTGATGACACTCAGTAGTTCCTTTTCAGGGTCAGCAGATAAAGGGCTGAAACTTTTTGCAACTTTCCAAAGTAAAATTCAAAAACCACACGATATAAATATTTCAGAAACAACGGGGACAGTGATAAAGATTGCCTCTTTGTAGATTTGCAATAAAATAGCTGACGAGGCGAGTCAGTGATGGAAATGCTTCAGGTCATGGTCGCCGATGAGATGGACTGTAGAAGCAACACTTTCCCTCTTTTCAGCTACTGGAAGTGACAGGAAATAGATAGATAGAAATGATTTTGGTGGCGCATCATACTGTAAAAACAATATATAACTGAGGTGTTATATATGATTGTGCCTCCCCAGTTTGTGGCTCACTAGCCTTTGCACAACCTGCTGGAACCAGGACCGTGGTGGCACTAACCGGATGGGAGACGAGGCAGCGGCTCCTGTTCTGGACCTTGGAGAAGACGTTGCTCGGCACCAGGCAGGAGGTGGAGCTGCTCAGGATGACGTCCTTTCCCACAACACACTCTATGTCCTGGAAGACGCTCTGCTTGACCTCAAGCTGCTCGAACACACACTCCTGGAAAAAAAGGCATACAGGTGAAAGTGTACACACATACAGATACACTACACACCCACGCACACGCGAGGGGGTTGTGAAGTCATTAAGAGAAATGCGCTATTGCTATTTTTTTTTAAACTTTCTCTTGGATATAAAAACAACTGTCTCACTTATTATACACATTTTACACTATATAAAGTACTTCCAGTGTAAATCATGGGGACTTCAAAATCAATAAATGGGTATTTAAGTCTTAGCAGAGCATCAACGAGGCATCACAGTGAAGATGAAAACTTTTTTTGTTTCTTGGTCTAACTACTGTGTTGCCCTTGATTTATGAGATAAAATCAAAATTATCTTTTTGTTTTCCTATAATATTGGGACAACCGATCCTCTGTACACTTTGTACACTTCACATCAACCTCATTACAGCAAAACGAATGATTGAGTGATTAGTCGCAACAATGAATTCACACTTTTTGTTTCTTTGTAAGTGTCAATCTACAAACTACTGAGAATGTGCTGTGGATACACCCGGTGCAGCTCTTATGTAGTCTCTATAGAGCACCCTCTGGCAGTTAGTACGTCTTCCCCACAATTGATCAAACGACACCAGATCTCCAGAGAAGTCTATCCCAAAACACCCAAACTATCTGTACACGTAAGCACGACTCAAGGTGAGTAAGAAAATGTGTGTTTTTCTGTAATTCAATTCTGTTGAACTGATCCTTTTACACTTTCTTGTCAAACGCTCTTGAACAAGACATTACAGAAAAAGTTAAGTAAGCCTTTAACTGCTGCCTGAGGCTTCACAGTTCACATGTTTTAAAACTGGATACAACCAGTTGGAGTTTTTAAAACCCTGAGCTGTATTTCATCCTGTGTGTCTGCCCTGACAGAGTGGCTGTCTGAAGCAGTAGAGGAGAGTTTACGTGCTCTTTGAATAGCACTCATCCTAACTACAATAACTGGCTGAGTGGCATACCTGAAGGAAGCGTGCATAGTAATGTGATACTCCACTACATCAGAAAAGGGTGACTTCAGTTTTTATATGAACATACATCAAATCCATTCATAAAGTCTATAATCTGTAAAACGTTCATGATGCTAAAATGTGAAAGAATGAGAAAATGCGGCGTGGAGGCCAGAGCGGACTAAAGTGACTTCTATAATTAGTCCTGCACTTCCTCTAGGAAACACCTGATCAATACCTAATTGTTCCCTGTGTCTAATAAATCATGTGTTGTTCCTCGTTGGACGGGACTCAGTACAGGATATTGATTTATTTCAGCTCCGAGATGAAGAGCACGATTGTCTGCTTCAGCAGAGTCAGGATGACGCCAACAGGAAGTTAACTTTGTGTCCGATGTGCATGACTCAGTAAGGATAACCTAGTGTGCATTGTTTTTGTGTTTGTGTTTGTGTTCTTAGCGTGACGAAGACGAGACGAGAGATTTGGTGTTAAAACGTCACGTTTGTCACGATTTCAGCAGCAGGGCAGCACCTGACTTCCTCCTGAGCCCTTTGTCAAAAGAAGCTGTTGTTAGTTAGTGTGTATAACAGACAGCTTGAAGAACTAATTTCCACAAAACTCTGATATCCTGATTTTTTAAGTGACTGGGTCAAAGGTGAATCTGTGATGAACAACATGGTTTTAGAAAGCATGGTATCATTACACTCATCAGCCTGAGAAAAATGTGTTTAAATACTGTGATTTATTGCTTTATAAGGGATTTCTTTTGGCAGATATTGCGATTACGATATCAGTCATGATTTCAGAGTGAATGGTCAGTTTTGCATTTAATTTTCTTTCTTTTTTTCGGGGCTTGTACAAAACAAGCATGTTCCTTTACATGTGGAGAATATGATTTAGAGGCCGGGGCGTGCCTGTAGCACCACCACGCTTCATTTATGGTCTGTTGTGACACATTTTTACCTTTGTCAAAAAAACTGCAGCTCCTGCGATCTGGATTTTGCACTTGGCCATATTGTGATTTCAATAATATTTCGATTAAATGTTCAGCCTGCAGTTAAAAATCATTATGACTCTAGGAAACAGTTGCTTTGTATCATAAACATGCAGGACTTTATAGTAAATACAAATCTGAGTGTACCTTTTAATTTTTTCTTCACTTTAAAACTGATATTCTTTGCTTTGATGACCCATGATAAGTATTAGGAGGCAATATATCCTTAAATATTTTACTTTTATTTAAATAGTGAGTGATTATTGCTGAAAGCAGACAAAGTGAGGTAGTAAGCACTTCTGAGCCAGTGAGTGTCACTTCACAAAATTCCTGTTGTTCGTTTAGCTTTATTCAAAATTTGAACAGAGGTGCCTGAGGTGTCACACAATATGTGACACAAATGACCCAGTGATGTTGCGCCCCCTTGAGGATGATCAGTGTAAGTTTGAAAATGCCATGCCAGCATATTGCACTGGGATTACTGTAATGTAACTGTACTGTGTGACTTACTGCATATGATGCGTAGATGAATGAAGAAATTAGTCAGTAGTGTTTTTCTATGAACCACACGCTGTATAAATGTGAAAATGCCACATTGCAGTGGCTAGAGACAGAATGTCCCCGGGTTTCATCAAACGTGTGTGATATGTAAACAATCAAATGATAAAAAACAAAAAAAAACAGACTAATTTATCTGCAGTTCCCTTTGATTTTAGTATCGGAGACAATCAGACAGAACGGCATGTGCTGTGCTGGGAGTGGTGCAGTGTGTTACCTGGACAAAGAAGGCTCCCTCCAGTGCCTGAGCCAGGTCATCGTAACTGCTGAGCAGAGCAAGCTGCCGTGTGGCACTCAGCTCTCCTCTGAGCATGTGGGCTTCCTCCAGCTCCTCCAGCTGCTTCCTGAGCCAAATGAGTGACAGAGGTAGTTAACGCGAATCCACACACTTTCTTCAAAGACTTAATATGAAACACAAGAGCTGTGTCTCACACATGACAGGGCTGTTTTAATGTCAGTAACATACCTGAATTTAATTATCAAAATAATGGGATCCTCAGTAATTTACATTTATTATAAAAACAGGATGTTGGATTAGGGAGAGTCCTCATAGTTAAGATAATATTATATTCCTGCAGTAGAGGAGGCTGCAGTTTCAGGACTGCTGTCCAACGTTTCCAGGACCCTATTTTTTTTTGTGACAGCGCAACCTAGTGAAGTGTTTATGGTAGAGTTAGTGTTGTTCTCTGCAAATGCATAAAACAAATCACAACTTAGTGGGTGACAGTGTCATGAAAAACTAGGGGTCCCAGGACAGTGGTCCTGAAACTGCAGCCTCCTCTACAGCAGACACACGCGACTCAGAAAAGGAGGTGGAAAGTGTAGTACAATGACACCCTCTACTGTCAGCATGGTCAACTGACTCTGCTGGAGGCTGAACAGTAGAGTAGAGGCAGCATTGGATATTTACATGATAAATAAAAGTAAAATTAGTGAGATTCTGGTGTAGAGTTTAAGTTTGTTGAACAAATTCAAGGAATAAAGGTCTTTTAATGAGTTTGCTTCTTTTTCAGTAAGACAGCAGTGCTTTCACAAAAAGTCCTTTGTCATTCCACAGTAATGTTTAACCAGCGATGACTGGGCTGTGAAACTGTTTTTGAGCCTGAACATGTTTGTTCATGTTTTCCTACAGTAAGAGGAAGCCATTAATCATGTAATGAGCATGTGTCTTCCCTGTAAGTGCTGGAAAGGAGAACAGGTTAGATTTTTGGACAGGGCCTTTGTGAGTCATTAGTGCATTAAAGCTAATTTACACATTAATGCTCCCTTCATATAAGTTTAATCAGGTGTATAGAAAGTACACCTGATTAAACTTATATTATTTTCAAATTGAAAGAAAATAAAAGTAAAACATGAATCACTGCTTGACCTGTTAGAGCATGGACTCGTTTAATTCAGCCCTTAAACAGCAGAAAGAAGAAGAAAGCACAAGTTAGTTAAATTTGGGTTTAACAGGCTCCGCGGCATCGAGAGAAAAGATGACAGTATGTCTTTAACTGGACTGGATATCACATTAATTAACACTACACTACAGGTTTATGCTGGACAAAGACTGCAGTGCTGTGTAGCAGGGCTAACCTGATCTCTGTGATGGCCTTAGCAGCCTGTCCAGGTTGGTTGTCATAGATCTTCACACTGTAGCCTCCACTGGCAAACACCATAGCCCAGGAGCGGCCTATCAGCCCACTGAAACAGAAGCACAAAATCACACACAGAGACATTAACTTTTCACAGTACTCACTGCTCAAACCTGCTAATCCCAGTATTCTTCTTTTTCCTGCCCTCTTGTCATGTTTTCAACCCATTACAGGTTTTTGCATGCACAGATTTTTGGAGGCTGATCCTGCAGTGGAAATTCAGTATCAGTGTGATCATCTGATCATCTCTGTCCTGCATATAATGGAGAATTTTGCATGTTAATAAAACTTATGAAAAGAGGATTGAACGATCTGTCTGTGACGTTTAATATTTACTTTTCAGGTTTACGAGAGGTCACTTCGGAGGACTGCAAAGTTTAGCTGAGTGTGTAGAAATAATGAACAGGGTACAGAAAGCAGGTTAAAATGTAAGCCTACACACAAAACAAATGCGAGCCTCCTTCATGAAGTCGGTTGAGGCTTTCCTATATACACTCAGTTGGCAGTTTTATTAGGTACACCTAACTACTTTTGTGGTGCTGTTGAACTGTATTGCATTAAATACAAGTTAGTGTGTCTGTTATTTAGCCTACCCTCATTGATCTGAGTGAGGTGGACAAAATAATAGGAACATCTGTCAACATAAAGCACTGCAGTCCAACAGCACAACAGACTACATCCTCCAAAATCATCATAAAGTTGAATCAACTTTGGTCTCAAGAAAAACTGAACATTGAGACATTGTATTAGGCTGCATTAGTTTTAGCTAGGTGTTCCTAATAAAATGACAACTGAGTGTAACAGCCATTCTTCTAATGGCTAATCAGTGAGAGGATATCTGCAAGGTATCAATATAAAGTACAAGAGGCTTGCCTAGAAAACTCACGATGAAATCATACAATGCAAGGACTAAACTAAAAGTATATGCAAAACCATTAACAAACCAAACCAAACCAAAATGCAACAGTAATTTGAGTAACTTTTATGACAGCTCCTCGAAGACTTTCCACAACAACATAAAGCATGGGAGCAAAAATTAAAATGACTTCATAACAATATTTCCTTACTCACCTGCCTATTACAGTGATGACCTTCATGTCAGATGAGCTCATTTTGCAGATATTATTGTCTCAGTTCGGGATAATGTTGCGGTGTTTCTATTAAAACTGTAGCACCGCCCCACTGAGTCACACTAGATTTCCCGGTACGGTAAGTTAGAGGGTCCAAACAAAGCGAGTGCGATCGGAGTGCGATAAAGTGTTATTTTCCTTGCTGAAAACAAGGCACAGGCCACACATCCACCAATACTTAGTTGATCTTTTTTTCCGAATAATTGAATAAGTTATACTTTCGTAATTTAAACTAAAATGAAGTGAAACTGTGCGTTAAACGGAGAAAAAGCAAACCTTGTATCCTAGCAACGGAGGAAATCAGCTTCAGCCAATTATGTTAACGCTAGCTGATGATTGACGCATGAGTAACCAATCAAAACCTTGGAAAACAAACTGTCCCGCCCATGCTGCTCTTAATTGTGGGATTGTATCCCTAAAGCGACAACAAACTGTTTTAGCTGTTACTTCGCGTAGATAAGTGTTTGTTTCCCATATTCATTAACATTTCGTCACACCACCTCTACGGAGAAAGAGAAATGGAAAATGTGCATCTGGCTCTAGAGGAGGATGATCTTTATTCGGGTTACAACGACTATAATCCAACATTTGACTCCGAGGTGAGTTAGCAACTATGCTACATTACCAAGCTCAAAGCCCTTGCCAACTAACAATAATATAAGTAATGCTAAATACACGAGATAGTACGAGCTAGAAACGACACAGATTATTTGAAATTGTTAATTTGACTGTGACAACGTGTTCTTGTGCATAGTGCGTGTAAAGAATAAAGACTAATTAACTAATTTTACACATTTCTTTAAAATCAATTTCAAGGAGTTGGAGAATGATTTGGGCTTCCAGCAAGCAGTGCGGACAAGTCATGGAAGAAGACCCCCGGTGAGTACCGACTGTAGTTTGTTAACGTGTGTGTCTGTGTGACAGAGAGCAAGAGTAAATGATATCTTGATTACACTCATTTGTTAATCCCCATATAAAAATGTCATGTCTTCAATTTGCCAGATGACTGCCAAATTTCCTGGCACTGCCATTGGAGCTCGGCCTATAGCTTCTTCCTTTGGAGTAAGTACAGTGAAATTCAGTCATTTTGAAACAGACTTGACTTTAAAAACGTACATTACTTGCAGCTCTGGTAATATAGTAAGAAGTAAAACTTTTTTGAATCAGCATCAGACTTTCTTAAAAGTATGAGTTCACATTAATTAGATAATACTTCATATCAGATAAGCATCTTTGTTCAAGTAAATTATATATTTACTGTTTATTTTATACCAATTGATAATAGTAGTAATAATGATGATGCTGATGGAGGCAAGTGTTGAGTAGTGGTAATAGTTTCAAGCAGTAATGTCAGATATTCACTGGTTCCAGCTTCTTTAAAAGTGAAGATTTGATGCATTTCTTTGACATATCATAGATATAACTATTAATCTATAAATCAAGAGAATATTTGGTTTGATTATTTAATAACAGAAATGATTGTTAGTGTTGATGTTACTTGATGTTTTTGTCACATATTTGCATGAAAAAGATATTGTCATGTAAACATGTCTAAATCAATTTCACCTGTCTTATACTTGTTGTTTCATGAAGTCTCGGGTCCCTATGACCTCTTCAATGGGCAGACCCATGACTGGAGCTGTGCAGGTGAGAGGGATTGACCGCTCAAGTCTGCATTTAAGGTCCTGCATAGTTCTTATTATGCATTAGACCCAAGTATTTAACCTCACTTACTTAGTATGTAATATGCAGTTTTAATTTGATTTTAATTTGACCAACACAGGTTTTGTTATAAGTTTTATGGACAAGTTTGCTAACTTTTGTGTGTTCACAGCTGACATCATGTATTAAATCAAAGTTCAGTAGCAACCTCATGTACTACTCAGCATTAATAATAGCTCTGTTTTTGTGAAGAAAAAAAAGATATTATTATATATTGTGTTATGTTTTGTCTTAAAATATGACAGGATGGAGCCGCCCGACCAATGACTGCTGTCAGAGCAGCAGGTTACACCTCCTCCCTGACCCGTGGTGAGTTTCAGGAACTCAAAAATAAATTGTTTATTACAGGTATTTAAATGATTCAGACTCCCCACATATGTATTGGTTTGGATTACTACATGATCTGGTATTAGCTTGTGATTCTGTGGCTGCTTGTTTTACTGTGTAAAATAGACACGGTTGTAGAGACACAGTGTCAGCATGGTGCTCAGAGTGTAGTTGGCAGGAATGTTACTTTATTTCTTTATATCCTTTTATTGTTCAAAAACCTAAGGATTTTTTTCTCCTTCCATTAGTATGAATTATCAATTACATGATATACAAGGACAGACTGTAACTGTCGAATCATTTTAAATTTTGTGTTTTCAGGCTCAACCTTTGACCCTCTAGGCCAGTCCAAAGGCCCTGCACCTCCACTTGAAGCGAAGAATGACGACACGTGAGTTGTCACTCTTTAAATTGATTTCTGTTTTTCACTGTTTCTTGAAAGACTCTCGCTGCATCATCCAAACTCAGCATTTTCTCCTGAAGTGTGCATTGGAAAGACTTTTCTAAAGGCATTTAGATGCTGAAAAAATATCTTGCTATAAGGTATAATTGTTATTTGAAAGTGTATAAACATTTATATTTGAACATTTTACAGTGGAGCTACAAATAATAAATATATACTGTTATATATTAAATATACCATATTTTTGATTTGTAAATGGATAAATCCAACATATTTATGTATGTTATTCAGAATGTCTGCCCTCATATACTGTACATGTCACAAAATGTATTACTAAACCGAACAAGCAACATTATCACACATTGTATTTCTGTGTCTCTTGGTTCTTGCAGGCCTGAGGAGAAAATCAAGATCCTGGAGAAGAAAGTGAATGACCTGATAGAAGAGAGCTGCATGGCACAGAGTGTGGGAGCCTTACAACTGGTCAGAGTCTGTCATTGTTTAACGTAGTGTTTAGTAATAATGGCTGTTAGGATGTGGAGAGAAGGGCCTCCAAGTAAGTCAGTGAACAGCGATTCAGTTTTCATCGTGTCAGCTCTAAACTCCAGCACATTGGATTGAGTATCAGGTTAGAAGTGTATCATCAGTGCCCTTCTATCAAATTCAACACGATAATAAAGCTTTTGGATCATCTGCCAGTAGTTGTTAAACCCTTAAAAAAGGTGGAGGGCCCGAGTACCTAAAGTAAATTTTCAGTGCTTTTTTTAATTTATGAGATAATTATACTGGATTAGAACTATTACAACAGATTGAGTTTGTTATTCATCATGAAGTGCAACAGAAATTCATTGTCACTGAAACACTCTCTCAATAGTGACTTGTCAGTGTTGGCGGATGAACAATATTTATCAGCCAAGGACACATTTTACTGACATGTGGTATTGTGTGTGATGTCTTTCTACAGGCTCTTGAAAAAGCCAAAGAGGCAGGGAGGAAGGAGCGCATGCTGGTGAGACAGAGGGAACAGTCTGGCAATGCAGACCACATCAATTTAGACCTCACCTACTCAGTAAGTGATGCTGCTGTATATCAGTGGTTGTTCCAGAGCATTTTCTTCCTACACACTGAAATTACACACCTACGCTACCTAAGTTAAGTACTATCTTTGGAAAACTAGAAAACACTGTTTAAGCCCTCATAAGTAGGTTTTATGTTCTTTGTTTACTGTGCATACTATGATGTTTGTTTTTACAAGTCAATAGGAAATCTGTTTCTTTTCACATTAAGTGTTTTTTGGTTATTTTCATGTTGGAGGAAGACGCAGTAAATGAATCATGTGGCAGGGATTGATCCTCAGCCAGCAGGACATATGTTTAGCTTTGGAGCCAGTCTTAACCACTCAGCTACGTGGGCACAGCTCACAGAGCACAGATTCAGTTTGAAGTTACTTTCTATGAATTAGTTCCTGACTATTATATATAATATTGAACATTTCTGTTTTTACCAGGTTTTGCTCAACCTTGCCAACCAGTACGCGAACAATGAAATGTTCCCAGAGGCCCTAAACAGCTACCAGGTCATTGTGAAGAACAAGATGTTCAGTAATGCAGGTGAGCAGACTTCTCAGCTTCACGCTCATTACAGATGTGTTGCTCCCGTGAATGCACCAAAGCAGGCAGGATAGAAAACCTTGTGTTTTAATTTGCCAATAAAATCAGAAGACGTTCTTCTCTGTGAGTCTGGTACTGTGATTCTCACTGAAGAACAAATTATCACAGTAACAACATCCTTAAAAACTAAAACGGTTTTAATAAAGAGGCTTTAATAAAGTCTTGTAAACTGTAGCACATGGATCAGAATAAGAAAAACACCATAAAAGAAAAATATTGGTAAGTTAAAGGTATCTAATATTAGCGTGCTGAACAAAAAAAAGATACTTGGCAAATACTTTGACTTGTATATGTCGTCTGTTCTATCAGTCGTACTAGTTTTCCTTCACACTACATCCGTGCTGTTCCTGCAGGCCGAATGAAAGTCAACATGGCCAACATCTACTTCAAACAGAAAAACTACCCCAAAGCCATCAAGTTCTACCGGATGGCACTGGACCAGATCTCCAACGCTCACAAGGAAATGAGGATCAAAATCATGCAGAATATCGGCGTGGTCTTCGTCCGCATGGGCCAGTACTCAGATGCCATAACGTCCTTCGAACACATTATGAGTGAGAGCCCCAACATCAAGACGGGCTTCAACCTCATCCTGTGCTACTACGCCATCGGTGACAGGGAGAGGATGAAGAAGGCCTTTCAGAAGCTCATTTCTGTCCCTCTGGGCATTGATGAAGAAGACAAGTACATCCCATCTAATGTGGGTTACAGTAATATATGTAGTGTCTGTCCATGAAGCTTCTGTAGTTGGAGCTCTCTTCTTAACCTACATGCTAACTATTCAGTCATTCTTCTTTTTAGGCTAACAGAAAGTTACCTTGCCTTTCCTACGTTTCCTAGAATAACAGACAAATCAGATTGTTTGACCTGGATGTAAATAGGATCAATACTAATAGTTACAATGAAGTGTTGGTGATCATTGAACGTGGTGCTCAACATCATAATTTAAACCACGTTCTGTCGACTCTTTCAGGATGACACCAGCGCAAATATGGTCATCGAGGCCATTAAGAACGACAAGCTTCACCAGATGGAGAGAGACCTGTAAGAAAAATCTCACACACTTCTCTCCAGCAAAAAATAATCACTGCGTTGGCTTTATCAAACCGCTGCCATGTCGCCTTGTGAAACAAAACACTGACACTTTCTCCTCCTTTCCAAAAACACCAACACAGTCTGTGTTTTTATTACAGATCATACTGTTGATTTTAATATGTGGTTTTCTACGTTCATTTCCTGAATTCTTATGCTGTTCTCTCCCTGTGTGCTGCACATAGAAAAGTTCTCGCTGAGAAGTACATCATGACCGCAGCCAAGCTCATCGCCCCGGCTATTGAGACTTCCTTTGCTACTGGTTTTGACTGGTTTGTTACTGTTGTGCTTTATTTTTTCCATATTACAATGTTAACACCAGAGGGCATACTGTGTACAAGAGGGCTCCAGCTCAATGAGAGTCCTTTGAGAGACTCAAAAATGCTTAAAAAAATATGTCGTTAAGTGTCTTGCTGTGTTTTCCTTTGGTGGAATTCTACTTAATCATATTGATTTAAAATTGGCATATATTTCTCACCCAGTTGTGTCACCCTAAAAGCAAATATGAAAACGATAATAACTGCAGGTCACTATTAATATTTTCTTCTTCACAGTTTCGAGCCACTAAAAGAGAAGCAGCTAGAGGTTTTTTTTTGTTGAAGCTTTGAATCTCAGAGCAAAGCAAAGTTCAGAATGCTGCTGAATGTATTGAATATTTTCCCCCTGGGCAGTTTTCAAACGCCACTTGCTGCCGTAGTGAATGTGTATGAGGGAGGCTGTGACTCTCTCGTCCTTTCCTGCTTCCCCTCCTCCACACCTTCTCTCCACACCCATGTAATTGTATATCTTTTAAACTAGCAGACTAAGAGGAATTCATTCCTGTGACAGTTTTTTTTTTTTCTATCAACAGAGTAAAACCACCAAAAGCTGGTTGTTCACGTGTCGGTGGATCAGATAAACTTAATCCGCCACAGTTAAACAAGCATCCTGACACCGACACATACGGACAGCAGCTCTCGTGCACATGGCCTGTTGGTCAAATTACATAAAAAGTGTTATATGTGGTTGTTTTTTTTTTAGGTGTGTGGACATGGTGAAGAGCTCTCAGTATGTTGAGCTTGCCAATGATCTAGAGATCAACAAAGCCATCACCTATCTGAGACAGAAGGACTTCAACCAGGTGAGTGTGATGAGTCCAATAGGATAAAGGGCAATACCATCCTTTGGTCTGTGGCAGGAGCACAGGAAGTTGAACTACAAACTTCACTTATCACTCTTAATATTTTACCTCCAAATCGAGTCGTAGAACTGAGTGGGGCATCTAAGATAATGCTTTATAGCTTGTGTAAGTGACTGTCAGAGTACGGTAACTCAAGCCAAACATTTGCCACCGTGTAATCGATTTAGTTTTTCAGAACATGCAGATTTTTCCCAGAGCTCAAACCAAACATTTCATGAGAGTCCTTAAAACTAAAATCTCACGTGTAATATAGTTACCGAAGATAATCCAGTTACAGTAGGACTTTAAACACGGAACAAACTGTATTTGATGTGCAAATTTGTTTGTTTTTTTTTTTAAACCTCACTGTTGTGTGATGATTGTTTTATGAATGTTTATGAATTTTGAACCTGAATAGATCTCAAAATTCATGAAGTGAGTGGTATTTCCCTGTGAACGAATGCAACGTGGATGATTTGGTCTTTGTTGTACTTTTTTATATTCGTTTTTTTTTTTTCCCCCATCTTTTTTTAATTTTATAACATTCTGGTTCTATACAGTTATCGGCCAGTGCTGTTTACATATGTCAGTTTCCTCCTGCTAAACCTGCTTCAGCAGAGCAGCGTCAGCCAAATTCTTCCCCTTCTCATTGCCCTCCATTCTCTCTTGCTTTTGTCTCGTTTCCTTCCCATCTGCATGCCTAAGGTTGAGGTATGTGTGCTTTCTGTTTCCATGTTCGCATTTAGATTGTGTTGTTTTGGGTTTTTTTTTTTTTTTTTTTCTTCTTCTTCTTCTTGACATGTTACTACTTAAGCATGCCTTTTCCAAATAACAGCACTGCCAAGAGATGTTGGAGAAGCAGTTATTGGTGTAAAACCCACAGACCCGTGAGGAAAATCTGGGGGCTGGAAGGAAATTATAACCAGTATTATACCAGTCGAGCTCTCAAGGAACTGCAGCTGTGCCAGTGGAGCTGCTCTGTGGCTAACATCAGAGTACTGATGACACTGAGCAGCTCCAAAGTGTCTCCAGTTACAGTATCATAACTGCAGTAGCCAAATGTCTTGTACTCACAGGCTTTACACCAGATGCATGTGTGTGGTGCTTTTAGACTGTCTGCAGACAGTGGTGGTGGTGGTGTAGTCTGCAGCATCAGTGCAGCCGTAGCCTAGCTGGTGGTTTGTCAAAATGATAACATTTACACACTAATACTGTTGGAAAATCTCCCTAATAAGTAATGTGCTTACATTGGCATAAGAACCAATAAATGTGAAGGTGATTTCAAACGATAGAATTTTGAATTTACTTTTATTGTGTTTCATACAGTGGTTTGGTTTATCTGTTTTTTCTAGTATAAATATAGAATAATTACACATGATGATGGGTGGCATACTTATTTATTTAACAAATAAATGTCATAATTAAATTATCATCTGGAAAAAGTATGGAGTTTTATTATAACTCAAAGGGTTTCAGAACACTAGTTTTTATGTTTGGAGGTGTGTTACTTACTGGGGAGAATGGCTTTCACCATAGTTGATACAGTATTATAATAATAAACTAGAGGAAAGCCAACAGAAAATGTTTCCCTAATGGCTTTTTAAATATTTTATCAGGCAGTAGAAACCCTGAAAACATTTGAGAAGAAGGACAGCAGAGTGAAGAGCGCTGCAGCCACCAACCTCTCTTTTCTCTACTTCCTGGTAAGACTCTTCAGTGAGAGGACACTTCAGCACAGTGGATGTTTGGTGTCGAGGTTATTTTTAACCATCCAGTTGTAAAGATGGCTGAATCAGGGCTTCTATTTTCTGTAACATCCCGCTACCAGTAGATACCACTCTCTGACCTTTACCCTCTAACAGGAGAAGGACTACGACCAGGCTGACCGATATTCTGATCTCGCCATGAACGCTGATCGCTACAACCCAGCGGCACTCATCAACAAGGGCAACACCGTGTTCTCCAAGCAGGACTATGAAAAGGCTGCAGAGTTCTACAAAGAAGCACTGAGGAATGATTCCTCCTGCACCGAGGCCCTCTACAACCTGGGTAACATCTGCATTGAGTTATACTAGTGGTACATTGGTGGGTTTATAGCATAGTAACCTTTACACCAAGTGTAGTGTTCATTCATTCTTGACCATCACTCTTAGAGAAATGTGAGACATAAATATATTATATATTATAGTATTATATATATATTATTATTACATTATAATATATAAACTTGTATTATCTGTGGTTATCAGAGGAAGTTGTTATGTGGTTGTTAAACCTGCAGCAGATACAAATCGTAAACACAGTACTGACATGTCATCAGCTTTGAAGTTTATTGACACATCCTGCAGCTGTGGAGCAACTTTATCATTTATTTGAAGTCACGTTTCTGGCCACCTGATGAGTGTAATATTCATAGTTTTTTTTTATCTATTTTTGGCCTTCACTGACTCCTCGGGGAAACATCTGGCTCTTTAGCTGCTCAACGCTCCACGTTGTTCACCAGCTCTAAGTCTCTAACTGTGTCTGTCTGCAGTTTGGAGCAGGTAGTGTACAGGTTCTTAGCACTCTTAAGCTGAAAGCAGCTGCCAGTTGTGGCGGAAAACAGTGAGACAACTAAACAATGAAACTCACTATAAAGCTTTGTAAAGCCGAGGGGAGCCGCAGATTCAGCAGATAATTCTCTGTAGGTTCATCACCACAAGCGACACCTTTCACAACTGGCGCACTGTTTTCGGATTTCAGTCTTTTTATATGCTGTTATTGTAAATATATATATATATATATTGATTATAGCTGCTTTAAAGTGTTTTTCGTCCCCTTCTTCTTGTACCAGGTCTCACCTATAAGAAACTGAATCGCCTGGAGGAGGCTCTGGACTGCTTCCTGAAGCTCCATGCCATTCTGAGGAACAGCGCCCAAGTCATGTTCCAGCTGGCCCACCTGTATCCTGCTAATAAGAAGTTCTGTTTGTTATGTGTTTGTGAATGTGTGTCATGAGGTTTAATTGCTTTGAAAAATTGTACCCCAGTAGTTGCTTGAAGGTGTTCATTTAGAGATCTCAACCTGTTCCCATGTGAGCATCTGTTAGTCCTTAACTCACTGGTCTCAGCTATGAGCTTCTGGAGGATCCCCAACAGGCAATTGAGTGGTTGATGCAGGTCATCAGTGTAACTCCCACCGACCCCCAGGCACTGGCCAAATTGGGGGAGCTGCATGATGGCGAGGGGGACAAGTCCCAGGCTTTCCAGTACTACTACGAGGTACAGGAAATATAATTACATGCTTTTCTAATTGATTAACACTTGGCTACCTATTAGCCCTCTTCCACTACAGGAACTTACTGTCTCGTAACCTGGAGCACGACGGTTCATGTTCAGTTACGGGTCAGTAGGTCCCTGCGGTGGTAAAGGCCTCTTTAAGTGCTCTGATGTTGTTGGGTTGTGTGGCTGTCAAGTCCTTCAGGTACTTCCCCTCCAACATCGATGTGATTGAGTGGCTCGGAGCGTACTACATCGAGACCCAGTTCTGTGAAAAGGCCATTCAGTACTTTGAAAGAGCCACACTCATACAGTGAGTAGCCAGTAGATGCGGTACTTTAGCAGATAATAGCATGATAAATAACAAAGTGTAAAACTGATGAGGATTTCAGCATCATATTCAACATGATGCCAAAAAATCATCACACTATCTAGAGTAATTTTTGTAAAGTCAAGTCCCCGGAGTCGTTCTTTCATCTTGAGGAATATCTGGGAAATGATGCCATTTCTACACTCTTTCAGACTGAGAAATTAAATGATTCACTTCTTATTCCATCTTGTTTTGATTATTTTGTTAGTATTATTTCATCGACCGTGACGCTTGCTGTCATCTGGAAGTCATTTTTGGTTTTTTTTTTTACTTGAAGAAAGGGGACAGATGATTTGATTTTGTTTTCCTTCAAACAAAATTCAGAATTTTTAATAATCTTTGAAATAAAATAAAAAGTAAAAAAAACATGTTCAGTGCACGTTTGTGTGTTCATACTGAGTGGATTTCTTCCTGCTGTGTTTCTCAGACCAACACAGGTGAAGTGGCAGTTAATGGTGGCGAGCTGCTACAGAAGAAGTGGTGAGAGCGTTTCTGTTATTTTTTCATCGCACTGCAAAATAACATGTAACTGCTCAGTCTCTGCCAGTTTGATACTGAAAACCAGATCGCATGAAAGTAGCAGTTGAAGCGGTTGTTAGACTTGAACTAGCTACGAGTTCGGTTCAAGTTGTGTGAACATAGATCTTTTTCTCTTTTTCTTTACAGGAAACTACCAGAAAGCTCTGGAAACGTATAAAGACATCCACCGCAAGTTCCCAGAAAATGTAGAATGTAATTCATCCCGTTTTGTTACAGTTTTCAACAGAACTCTTGAAAAGCAGAACGTCACCCACTGATCAGAGTGTAAAGAAAATATAACGTGCGTTTGTGTTCAGGTCTGCGTTTCTTGGTGAGGCTGTGCACAGACATGGGACTGAATGAAGTTCAAGAATACGCCACCAAGCTGAAGAAAGTGGAGAAGATGAAGGAGATCAAAGAACAGGTAAATCTCTCTTGGCTGTCACACCTTTATTTTAATAATATTCTTCTGTAGCTTTTTCATGTAAATAAACATCTGTTCTGCTACTATTATATTCTGCTAATTCTTGGGAAAAAACGGCACACAGGAAGCCACGTATTTTACATTTGTAGTTAGTTTGGATTAAACAGAGGAGTAGGGTTGGTAGGTAGCAGGAACCTCTGTAGCTGACATCATTGAGTAGATGTAGGGAGCTACAGAAAGTCCAGATTCAAAACTGAGACTTAAAAACCAGAAAATCTATTGAAGAGGATTTAACAGAGCTCCCCACTTCCAGGTGCATCAAACTAACCTTATACAAGCAGCCTAGTTAAATGATTTAAATTAGGTAATACGTCCGAATATTAACATTGTGCAGCTTCTTAAATGACCTGCTTGTTCTGCAGTCATATATTACAGACCTTTCGTGAGCTTTCGTTAATCATCTTTTCCTCACCAATGTCTTGGCATCACGTCGTCTTTTCCTGGACGAGAACACACTGATTGGAAACATACACATCCTTTTGCCATGAAGGCGGTCAGTGGTCACTGCAGCTCCACAAATGCTTGAAAAACAGCTGGGGTTTTTTTTTTTCTCTTCTGTTGATTATCCATGAATCAAACCATGTTGAGCAGAGAGCAGATGCTTTACAGCTGTTTAACACCTGGCTGATACTATATGCTGGGGCATTTAAAACAGTTGTTGTGTTCGGAGAATTACTCACAGGTCTGTTGTGGGTCGTTATCGCCTGAAACATCTGAATGGATTAGATGAGTATTTAGTGATTTTTTTATTGCTGCCAGCCAGGAAGATTATTGCTTTTCTGATAGAGGAGATGAAGCCAGTGTTTTCCTTATCAATCTAATTGGAGACAGATGCATGTTCTTCCATTGGCAAGCACTGTTTGCTTGTATCTGATTTGTTTAGACATTTGTGATGTTAATCTGCACACACTTAATGTTATCCTTACAGAAAATGCTTGAATATACTCAAAACTGACAACCTCTTCAGTTGTGATTTTCTTTTCTTATCGCTCTTGTCCTAAAAGTCTACTCCAATTTGACATTGCGCTGTCGGACTCACGATTAACAGCTGACATAGAAAAAGGATCAGAATCGTTGCAGCAGAACCAGAGATATTGTCTTTTTATGTGTCAAAATCTGGTGCCTTCCTTACTCACAATGCAACTCTACCACCACTGGGTTGTGTTATGTTAGTAGGGGCTAAAAGAGATGAGCTGCAGCCTACAGATCTCTAGTAACCTCACTTCTTTTGAACTCCATCACCCCAGACGCGTGCATGCTTCCCTCTTGAGGAATGGTAAAACTAGTGTCTGCGGTGGCTCCCAGACTTTAAGGTCCACGCCCTAAATGGCTAACAGGCCTGTGATCCTGATCGCAAAACTGGTGGTGGTCTGGGGTCAGTCAAGTTATGAAGAAGATTCAGAGTATGAGGGCCGTGTGCCTTGTGTCCTGTGGAGATATTCATCAGAGCCAGGAACAGATGAGATGGAAGACTTTGTCAAATCACAACCAGCTGCTCTTAAATCAGCCCAGGGACGCTGCTGGAGCAGAGAAACATTTCTACAGAGACAGGCAGAGCCAGAGGGTTGACTCATTAATCCCAAAATGATCCAAACTGAATGACAGCGAAAAACAACTAATCCTGCTAATATAACTGCATAGTACATGAAATGATGAATGAGAGAATGAGTAGAGCCAAAAACGAATGCATGAAGATGATTGAATCGCCGCTCTGTCTGATGTTGTGTTTATGCTAAGTGGTATTTCTTCATGGTAATTCCCCTTGGTACCATCTGCGTCAGCGGGGCTGTTATTGTTTTCACCTTGTGTGTGTGTGTGTGTGTGTGTGTGTTTGTGTGTGTGTGTGTGTGTGTGTCGGGGGCAAAATGTGGTCGTGGAGACACCTACTGTAGTGGAAACTACCACAGAGGAGGTTTTGAGAACTTTGGCAGGTGTTTACAGTCACAAAGCTTTACAGGTGTGTAGTTGAGGTCAAAATGAAGGCTGAATGTGAAGATAGGTGTGGTCTGGCCCATGAGTAGTAGGTAGCCATGTAATAATGTAGTGAGAACTACTGAGTACTCATCGGTTGAGACGTCAACATATTGACGGAACGACCAGTTTTTATTTTGGTCTCCATCTTTTACTGCTGTTGTGTTTCTGCCGTCGACTCCGCTTCCAGTTTATTCCGAACAAACTGGAAATGTAAAACTTTCATACTCAGTTTTTTTCACATCTTAATGTCAAATTCCATTAGCTTTGTCTTGGTCGTAGTTTCACAAATAGTTTTCATGCCAGTGAAACTGACTTATTTATGAGACACAGAGGGAGAGACGAATAAAGAGAGAGGCAAATAGCAGCACAGGCTCAACACTGGAAAAAGATGTCACCAGAATCCAACAGTTTAGCATGAAATGTCTCTGCTCTTTCATTTGGAGTTCACTTTAGAAACCTACACTTAAGCTAAATTAAAAAACTGTATTTGGTAAAAGACATACTGTATATTTTTACTTCAAGTGAAACTCTGCTGAGAATCATTTATTCCTTGTCTGCAAATTTGGTCTTAATTTCCCTCCTCCTCCCTCTCCCTTTCTCTCCTCCCGCAGAGGGTGAAGTCGGGGCGAGAAGGCAGTGCCAGAGGTCGGAGAGAAGGCAGAGAGGGCAGCGCTGGGAGTGCTGGTGAGTCAGTCACTGTAACATATTAGATCGCCATACAATGCAGAATCGCATTGTCTAATATACTGAACACCTATTTCCACACCTGTTATTTAGACCTGTGACGTGTCACAGCACAAACTGAAATCCTGACATTAGATTAACATGTGGGAGACGTGGGGACTTGACTGAAGTTAAAAATAGTGTAGAAACCCTGAACATAACATTTACCTTTTTGTAAAACCCCCTGTGTATTCAGAGTTGCTAACATCAGCATGAGTGCGTATGTGGTTAGTATTGATAAGCCCATGTTTCAAACCTCAGCACTTTTTAATTACAGATTTAAATGTGCCTGTATTAAGCAAGTATTAAAAGCCAGAATCAGATGATCTTTCAAATTCACACTCTTACCCTCGAATTCTTTGATCAGACAGTTTATTTAGATCTGAATTTTACCAAAAGTTAGACAGTATTTTATTCTGAAAGGTTTTTGTACAGTCAGTTGCTTGTGTTAAATCCACATTTTAGAGAGTTTGTCTGTTTCTGTAAGATAAGGTCATTTATTTATGTACAGGTGGTTTTAATTAGACTTATTTTCAGTGTTTTATTTCTTCGTGTATGTCACCACTTCCTCTCTCCTGTTGCTCACACATGCTGCTGGTCAATAGGCATCTCCACACCTGTCCTCACCTCTCCTAAGAAGGCCAGCGTCATGGGTATACCTCTATACATCACACTGAGTCCTGAGTAGAGTAGAAAGCTGTAGTCATGTCCTGTTGCAAACCCTTCATCATTTTTAAGTCCATAAAAGGAACTGCTGGGAAGACACAACTACACATCCAAATCCCAACCTCTAATCCCAAAGGGGTCACTGACAAGTTCGGCCAGGTTACAGGTCAGATTTACAGTTAACCCCGGTTGATTGGGTTCCTGCATCCTGTCTTTGAATTTTTACGTAATAACGTAACTCAGAGCAGTGATTTTTGTTAAGCATTTGTCCCATTAAACGACTCGGAGATCATTTCATTGTCTCCACATGAAAGAGGATGTTTGGATAAGAACTGTTGTGAATATTTGAGTCTTAATGAGATTTCAAAAGGAAAACTTAGCCCTTTGGACGCTACCAGAACATTTGCAACGTGATACAGTTATTATTGCTAGTGCATGTTAGCTTCTGGACGGAGGTAGAGCTGCAGGCTTCGTATGATTTATATGAACAACACAGATAAGGTCAAACTCTTTCTCTCCTCCTGAAATCATAAAAGCCAGCTCATCTATCTTTCTTTTCCAGTACGTCTGAACAGTCGGTTGTGAAGCTTAATAATGAAAGTGGAGCGACAGTGTAGGCTTTGTAGGAGCCCTGACGACACACAGCGCCGCAGGTCACAGCAGACACCTGAGAAGACAAACCTCCACAGTTTTAGCACTCCTTCACTACAGACCCACAACACACACAGACACATACTCTAGACTGCCTCCAACCCCGGAAAGCTGGCTCATCAGCAAATTTCAAACACAATCCAGACAAAGTAGAGGGCTGCCAGCAACTGTAACGAGGCCCAGCTTTTCTCTGCTGTGCAGCTCAACCTCCATTGTGTCCTGTAATGTAGTTAAATATATATATATATATAATATATATCAGACACCTGTTGATGTGCATGCTGTTCCCCTCTGCCAAGACTTCCATTATTCCCCTGCATCCTGATAAATTAGATTAGAAAACCCCCAACTTGTGTGTTTTTATTGTCCAATAGTTTAGTAGTGCCAGAGCTGTAACTGGATCTGTTAAAACGAACTGTTACTGGAGGTTTTGCCGTACATGTTCAGTGTTTCATATCTCTGAATATTTTCTATGACAGTTTTAAGTTGTTTAACTAAACTCCAATCTCTTCTCTTACTTTCCTAAGGCATACTCTCATTGCATATGGCAGACTTACTGCCTCTCTCTGTGCTCTTTGTTGTTTTGTTCCCTCTCTCTCTCTCTCTCTCTCTCTCTCTGCAGTGATATACTGTCCAACTCTAATCTTTATTTTTGTCTGTTTCTCTGGCTCTCTGGCTTCCAATCTCCATCTGTCTTCTCACTGTGCTTCCTCTTTGCTGCCCAGTATCTCAATCTGAGTCTAAACAACTCAGTCCACTGTTGGACTCAGAGAGAGGTATGTAAAGTGATTACTCAAAAATTATAGAGTGAAACTCGTTGGGTTATAAGATTGCACTTCTAGCCACTTGTTGATAAGAGTAGAAGTGAATAGTTTCATTCCAATCATTTCTCAGTTGTTGCATCTCAGATAAATGTGCAGCTTAATGAGCTGCTCAAGAATGAAACTGAGAATTTGTGTTTCATCTTCACTGGGTTTGAAAAATAAGATGTTAGATTCTGTTAGAGATTATTCTTCATTTTTTTGTCCAGCTACGCAAAACAAACTTAATTGTGCTCACTTTAGAAACGCAGTGATCTTACTTTGTAAGAACTGTCCTTAAACTTAAACTTAAATGGGTATTATCTAATTTTGTGACTTTGCCAACTATAGTATTAGTGATCAGCTGAACTATTAGAAATAAATCACATCAACTCTGTGCATATGCAGCTCATTGTACTTCAGAGCAGAAACATCTTGCTTCTTTGATTTAATTTAACAGGCCTGGGATCATTAGGAATGTTGAAAGTGTTGAAAGATGGAACAATAAAAGTTAAAAAGTGAAAATAATTGGGCTGAACTGCCTTCTAACCACAGTAGTATCATGCAGTCTGGTTTCTATTTTTGTGGTGTGCCAGATTCCAATAGAAAAAACCACCTTGATTTGTACCAGTATTATCATATTAATAAGTACTGCATGTGCACAGTCATACTGTGAAAGAAATTAATGCAAATCCCTTTTACTATTTTTAAAAGCCATAAGAGTTGCAAACAGACACTGTAGAAACGAGTGACCTAGAACCGTTTTCCCAAGGTAAAGACACAAGATAAGAAACCTATAACTATAGTGTTATGGTCAAAACACATGAAGCTGGTGCAGAAATGTTCTGACAGGCAGCTGTGATGTTGGACTGTGGTCTGTGTTTGCACTGAGAGCTCACACAGAGGAGGAGGGAGGGAACTGACCAAACCTCTTTCAGATATTTGAGAAAACCTCTAGTGCACCTGAGAGTTTTCCCTCTTTTCTGTTAAGTATGCATATTTGCAGCACTGTATATTGTGTGTGTGTGTGTGTGTGTGTGTGTGTGTGTGTGTGTGTGTGTGTGTGTGTGTGTGTGTGTGTGTGTCTTGGCGAGGCTGACGATTAGTTTTCTCACGAATCCAAACCTGCGTCATTCTCTGATGTGAATCAAAGATTGTGTGAAAATGTGCTGATTTTCAGTTTTTCCTTTTCATATATTTATATATAATATTTTTTTGTGATCTTATTCTCATTGTTAATATAACTTAATTAAGTCTAGGGTTGCACCCGTTGTTTTTCAAGACTATATTTGACCTTTTTTTTTATACTCATGTAATCTTCCAAGGGTTTTTCCAAATAAGTTTAAGCAGGAAAGTGAGTTACAAAAGCCAGAAAGTTAACTCATCGATACTCATCAACCCCTTGCAGAACCCTTATGGCCATTCTTGCCGTGGAGTCGTATTAAACTCGCTCATTGCACCTTTAATTGTGGAAACTGTTACACACGACCGATTTTAGGTCTGGCTTTCAACCTGTCATGTCATCCCTCTTTCCTCTGTCTCCCAGTTGTGTGTTATAAAAGAGAAATGCCAGTGACACTGTCCAAGAAAACGAAAAAAAACAGGGAGGAGAAAAAAGTCCATTTTCCAGTCGAGGTTTCAGTTTGCCAGCAGTTTGTGAGGCCTCGTGTGAGATGTTTGAGGCTGTGAGGGAAGGTGGAATATCGGGCCTCCCTCTCCTTCCTGTTTTTCAGCTTTCTGCCATTGCTCTCGTCAGTTTCCAAGGCTACTTGGCAGCCAGATGTGGGCTGCTGCTGTCTGTAATCATGTCTGTCCTTCAGCTCACTAGAGCGCTTTGTCAGTCTGTCATCTGAGCCTTGAACATAAACACATTCTCCAGCATATTCATTACATCTTGTGAGGAGCACAAGCCGAGCCCATGGCCGGTGCTGCTGCTCACTGTCTTGCTGAAGGGCACATAGTTGCAGTTTGCATTTTTACCCTCAACATCCACGGCTGCTCTGCCCTTGAGCAAGGCATCTAACCCTCCAACTGCTCCCCTGTGCCTACAGCTGCCCACTGCTCCAGGTGTGTGTGCTCACTCCTCCTAGTGTGTGTTTGTGTGCTCATTGCTCACTGCTCCTAGGGTGTGTGTGTGTGTGTTTTGTTCACAGCTTACGGATGGGTTAAATTTCCTCCGTGTGTAAAAACATACTTGGACAATAAAGGATTTTTCCATTTATTAAATCTTTTATATATTTTTAATAAATGTTTTGGGGCTTAAAATAAAGTGTTAGCAAAAACTCTCCACATGTTTGTGTTTAGGGGGAAATAGGCACTTAGATAAGTTGGTGTGAGGCTCATTTATAGCATATTTATTGTTACACTAAGCAAACTGAACAGGACACATTGCCCACACATTCAAGTCACCACATGCTGTGAGTGGGCGTGGCTAAAAGTAGTTAACAAGCACCCAGAGAAGTCAAAAATACTGTTGATGGATGAAAGTAATGGACGACTAAAAACAGAAAAATATAAAGCCAACGTAAACACTGACACTTCCAGGATCACTATGGCTGTGTCTGAAATCAGCCCCTTGTTCACTCATTCACTGCTGCCCATGTAATGGACACTGACTAGTTCACTCAGAAGTGAGATGTAATGTCAACTTGTATACAGTTAAAGGTGTGTAAAAATATTTAGTTTAAAATCAGTTTCATTTAAAAAGTTTGGAACATGAGGTGTGGTGCTGTGAGGGTAACCCACACACACACACACACACACACACACACACACACACACACACACACACAGACACACATTTCAATGGTTACTCTAGGTCTGTGAAATGAAAGTCCCACATCTCCGTCATGTTGACTTTTCAGAAAGTGAGAAGTACAAGCTTAGTTTGAGATGAGTCACGTTGATCAGCTGTTACTGGATAAACTGTGATTTCATTTTGGGTAGGAATATTCTTCTGACTGATTACATGGCTCAGTTTTCTGCATATATAGTGTGTGTGTTTAAAAACAAATGAACTGGAATTCTGAAAGATAAAACAGCCAACAACTCTGCACATGTCATGTATACATAATATACATCTATGTAAGTTGGCCCAGCTCTGAGGTGCATTTAACACCTGTTAACTGTGTCGGAACGAGTGATTCAGATTATGACCGACTTGCTAAATTCAAGCGTGTGTATGTGTTTTGTGCAGACAGCAGCCACAGCAGCAACAGCACTAAAGGAGAGCGGCTGAGCGCCAAGATGAGGTCACTTCCTGCCTCCAATGAGCCCTACGAGGCCAGCAGCCAAAAAGAACTAGGTGAGGAAAACCTGTTTTCTCTCTGTCTCTCTCTTCACCTCTGTCATCTGTGACATGACATGAGTTACATCACTTGTTTTTTTGTTTTTTTTATCTTTGTATTCTTGAGGTTCCTAGACACTTAAATCACCATGATCACAGTCGTACCAGTTTTCATTCACAGGCTGATATGCAAAGTTTCCAACAGCAATACTTTGATTTTTCAATCAGTAATGGACCATAAGAAGACGAACTGTTCTTACAGCTCTTAACAGTGACAACTAAGATGGTAATACTTTACCCTAAGACCTTTAAAGTTTATTACAGTCTATAATGTAGTGGTAAGCAGGTATATGTGTAAATATCTCCTTCTTCGGGCACCGACTTTTAGTTTTACATCTTCTCTCAGGCTTCTCTCTGGAGCTCTAGTAACAACAAGTCGGTGAGCCAATCAGAAGAGAGGAGGCTCTGAGCCTCTCTTCTGATTGGCTGACTGTTTTCTGAGTGATTGAATGAAAATATAGCAGATTTCAGGAAAACACTCAGAGAAACCAAATCCTGTAAGGTCGGATGGTGGGTCCAGATGGGCCATACTGCGTGGCAGTGACTGTGTAGTTGTGACATCACCAAGTTACAGGAAGTGCTGACGGCTTGTTTAAAGGCTCAGTTTCTGAATACAGGCTGTGTGCATTTCTCTGTGGACTGAGGCTTTGACACTTTCACAGTATTAATATAGAACCTAGACCTGCTTTATGATAACAGAGACATGGAAATCTCACTTTATACAACATGGGACCTTTAAGACTTGTGTTGCAAGACGATACTCTTATTCAGGCTCATAGATTAAGGAGTGACTCATTCCCACTGAAGGAGACAAGTAGCATCTTGAGAAGCTGTGGGACCCAAAAAAGAAACCAAAAACTAAATGTTCTATCTTTTTTTGTTTGTTTTTGTTCATTTGTTTATTCTTCATAAACAGTTGTTGTTCTTAAGTATTGACATTTCATGTAAAATGAGTGATGATGCTTAAATACAAAAAGACTTCTGTACTTGAGAACATTTTTGAATGCAGGACTTTTTCTTGTAACTGAGTGTTTTTTATAGTGTGGTATTGCTACTTTTAATTTGAAAACTTCTTCCACTGCTGCTCTTAAGGGCTGCTGTGGAAAACACGTGTAGAAATGTAAGTGTTTGTAGAAACACTCTGAACTTCTGAGATTGGTCTTTAACATGAAACAGGGCCCAGGACATTTGATAATGAGTAAATCTTCTGTTCCTCTCCTGTGTAGACGCGTCCTATGTGGACCCACTGGGGCCTCAGATGGAGAGACCAAAGACGGGAGCCAAGAAGCGCATGGAGGATGACGACTTTGCAGATGAAGAGCTGGGAGACGACCTGCTGCCGGAGTAGCTGCCTGAGTCTGAATGAACATTTTCTCTTTTGTCACCTTTCGGAAGGCAAGAGCACAAAGCTTCACCACAAAACCAAAACATTTTAAACTCAGCTCTTTTTAGCAAAAAAACATAAACGTTACGGGATAAGAGAGTCCAGTGACTGTTATTCCTCTACTGTTTACATCAGCGGTCCAGGAGTTGGATGTTTGTACCTCCATCAAATTGGTCAACTTTGCATGAAAACATATCGGCGTAGTGCTGATTTTTCAAAGGTCAATATTTATACAAATCCATTTAGCAGAGGAATACCTATCTTCATGGAACAAATGGCGAAACGTTTCACAAGAAGTTACAGTGCAGTTTGTAAGTATTTGGACAGATTCGTTGAAGCTCTGTACTCCGGCACAATGAGTCTGAGATGAAACAATTACGATGAGGTTGAAGTTTTGACATTTAGCTTTAATTTGAACACACTTACATTCATTTTTGATGAAGTGTTTAGAAATGATAGACATTTTTGGACATACATTTCCTCCCAAGAGTAAACAGGCTACGAGCCCTGTGCAGTTCAGCCAGTGTGGATGAGAAGGATCAGGCAACAACAAGTTTTGCATTTTTACCTCAACGTCACCTTTTCATTTTAAATCCAGTGTTGGAGCACAGAGCCAAAAATAGTGAAAAACATATCGCTGTCCTAATATTTTTTTGACTGCGCTGTATGTTTCCATATGTGAGCTTGGTAACCTTCTGGAAAATCCATCAGCACAGTATAGCAGACTTCATGTGATGTATCAACTGAAAGGGTTATCTTACTTTCTGCATTTTGTACTTTGCAAATTCCAAAAAATGTGTATTTGTAGTATAATATTTATTTTTTTCTTGTCTACTCATTTGTATGTCGTTTATTATATAATTAAAAGGGAAAATCATTTATTTAATCACTTGTAGAACAATGATCTTCAGATAAAACACAGACTTACATGACCTAAGATGTAAGAGTACAGAAAACTCACTGACGAGCTCAGTTTTCCTGGGCAAGGCAGCACATCAGACTGGATTTAATACACAGTAAACTGTTCTGAATTAAGTTTATGGCTTTTTATAAGTAGAACTTAATTTAAAGCTTTTGCCTTACATTAATCTTAATTCACAGAACACATCATACTAAGTGACAAGGGGGAATGGAAATACAAAAAGAAACACAAAAATGTGTTTTCCATTTGTTAAATATGATTTCTATCAATTTGTGATTGGAGTTTAACATTTCTGTATGACACCAGAGCTGACATAAGAGGTTGGACATAGCTGGATCCAGTTTATCTTAAAGTGAAGTAGACTGTGGTGTGACGCCAGGATCCAGCAGCAGAGCGCATGCAGCCAACAAGTCTGGACTTCCCTCTCCAGTCAGGAGCTGCTCCCATGAAGGAAAGGCTCTGTCATTACCGGGGCTAGAGGTTTAGGACGGGGCTTTATCTAGCACATCAGTGTGACTCAGAGTTGTTCTGGATGCTGGATCACACTGTTCTTGCGCGCGCAAACGCCTCCATCGGATTTTACGCACACATCGCTGGAGAGAAGCAACAGGAAAACGCTCTTGGTGGCATTGTCTCCTCTTAAACAGAGAGCAGCAGGTGTAAAACTCCCAACGCGGTAATAATTCCTGATTCTAAGGCATCTATTACTCCTGGCGACACCGTGGACGTGTGGTGCCAAAATGTTTCCCTGGCGGCGCGCCTGCTCCTCGGTTTCCACGCCAGGACTGTGGACCGTTTTCCTGCCGCTGGATTTACAGCTTTACAGCTTCCAACATTTCACTGGACTATAACAGAGGAAACTAACCTGTTCACGCTAAAAATCCGCCTCATTAACAAAGGTCACTTGTGTTTTGATAACCTACTTGTCATTTATTAAGACAGGCGAGGACAGCGCGCAGGGAAACCGTTTTCAGTAGATACGCATTTCCGCGCAACACCGCACCGAGAAGCGCACAGAGATGCCGCGTCGGTTCCGCGTCCTCTTCCTGCTGCTGCTGCACCTGGCTGTGTTTCTGCTGGGCTGGCCGGCCGGGGCGAGCCGGATACGAAAGAAGGCCACCAGGACCCGGTCTTGCCTGGACCTGCCGGAGGAGATCTTGGAGCAGATGTTCGGCCGGCTCTCGGTCGGAGTGATGAGCGCTTTCCATCACGCCCTGGAGCTGGAGCCGCAGGACAAACTGAACCTGACCTGCCCAACCACTGCACGGGCCCCGACCGACAGCAAGACCCGCCTCCCGGTCAACCTGCTCAGCATCTCCCCCTGGGCCTACAGGTGAGAGCAGGTGGAACATAGCGAATAGTATTTTACATTATGTGTAAGGATGTTAGTTTTTTGAGTAGTGATGAAATTAATTATCAATACTTAGGCTAAATGAATGCAAAGTCATCTATTTGCATTAAAAAACTACTTGGATTTCATTATAAATATAAAAATAAAATGTTTAGATTTATTTTCCAATCATTCAACAAAACTTTCACCGTATGCTATTTTGTCACGAACATGTTTCCATGACTTGTTCACCTGTGGATACTTAAATATGTGTGTTGTTATTATTAATAACAGTCTTCTTAATTCAACACTTCCAGGTCATTTTGAAAAGCCTCCTCAGCTTTATGAGTGACGGACCTCAGAAGTCAAAACATCACTTTGTGTTCACATGTGCTTGACCTGTAATTATGGCATCAACGAGCTTAAAGAATACAAACTAATGCATCTGTTGAATTCATCTTATTCATCTTTGCAGGATCTCGTACCAGCCGACCAGGTATCCCCGCTACATCCCGGAGGCTTACTGCCTGTGTAAAGGCTGCCTGGTCGGGCCGTACGGTGAGGAGAGTGACCGGTACCGCAGCACGCCGGTCTACGCTCCCTCTGTGATCCTGAAGAGAACGGGCTCCTGCATCGGCGGCCGCCACTCCTACACGGAGATCTACGTCTCCGTGGCCGTGGGATGCACCTGTGTGCCGCTGCTGGAGAAAGAGCGCGACGGCCGCAACAGCAACCAGAGCCTGGAGAGAGCAGAGCCCAAAGCCGGACGGCTCAGGTCTGCACGCAAGAAAGTGTGAAGGAAGCAGAGCTGTTGGACTCCAGATGAGTTTTTCTACACCGGGTCCAGTTTGTTGGTTTATTTTTCTTCCACTGGCACAAAAAAATGTAAAATAATGTAGATGTAATGATAATACCTGCAAGGCAGAAACACCTGTAACAGTCCCTGAACCGGAGCACACTGAATATTTTGGATAAGAGAAGATTTGATTTACATCCTGTTTACTGTTGGTCCTTGATAAACTCCTGAAATGTTTTTACATCTGGAAAGAAACGGAGACATTATTTAATCCACATTCATTCCTGCCTTGATTTGACCTGGCTTCGGACTGAAACTTGGAAGAGACCTGGACTTGACAAAGATGTCCAGATACATTAAGTACAGCAAACTCAATCTGCACCTGTTGTATTGGCTGGACTGGAGAGAATAGGCCTAAAAGGCCTCTGAAGTACAATGTGAGAGTTGAAGAGTTGGTTCAGCCAAAGTACAGAAAATATATTCACATCTGGTACGGAGTCATGCAGATCATTTTGTGTTGATTTGTGCAGGTTTGAAGAAATTCACCTGTGACATTTCTGCACCACAGACAAAATGGCATTTGGGTGGAGGCAGAAATCTGATCAAAACCTTTGCCCATTCAATCAGAACTAGCTGTATGACTACTGTGACCAGATACCGCTAGAAATGAATGAGAATACTTTTATTTGTAAATTGGGTGGTCCAACAATTAAATTAAACACAAATATTGACAGATGGAATAAAATTCCTCATTATCGTCAATGATCTGATCAATGCTGCCACCTACTGATGTTAAAAAGAACTGCACCTGGAGAAACCGGAAACACTGACACACTTAAAGAACAGCTTTCATTCAGTCATTAAAACAACAAATATTCAAGATGATTGTAACGGTCATTTTTAATTCAGTCATTCTTATGAACTGGGACTAAACGTGTCATGCACATAAACATTTCGACATGAAACTAAAATAATCTAAATTATAAAAGTAAGCAGTGGATGTTACTCGGACACCTTCCCATTTTATTTTGAATTATATGATTAAATGTCAACATTGTACCAAAAACCAACATGTCCACAACCTAATTTCATATTTTAAAAACAAAAGCCAGTTGACTGTTGATCTTAAAGAAGATTTTGTTCCATTATAACATAATCACTTATTTCAATCTAAACATTGACCTTTACTAAATTAATATTATTTTGTCTCTCAGTCTATATTCAATTCATTCCAATTAAAACCGCTTTTGTCCCATTTCTCAAGAATCACTGAATTAATTTAGCAGCTGTTGGTGACATTTCTGGACATTGAGTTCCTCGGTTTGCAGAGAGGAAGTTTCTCTCAAAGCAACAGCACAACAAAGAATTTAGCACTTGTTTGTTTCCCAGTTTCATTTTTGCATTTTCAGGATTTTTGTTGAACAGCAGTAAATCCCTCAGCCGGTGTCATCATCATCACATCATTACACTGGTTAAGAAAATAAACGTCTACGATTATCTTTTCACTTTTTTAAATGTATTCTTCTTTCTTCTTGTTAAACACTGAGCGGCTGGTGCTTCTCTCCTCTGATGAGAAATCAAGTGACACATGTAATAAGGTTCAGTCTCTGCAGGAGCGAGGAGCTTTCTTTGGTCACACACTCTCAACACATCTCCTTCAATTCTCATGAGCTTTCTGTTGGTCGTTCGTTCCACTTGGTAGTGATGCCAGTTTATTTACTGGGTGGGAGGAGAGACGAGTCACACCTGAACCAAGTCACACAGGATTTCTGCCAGTTCAGTGAAAGGAATAACCAGAAGTCGTGCCCAAGGTAACATGGGGCTGTACTCCACACAGTGAGTAAACTGATCTTCCTTTAATTGGATGGGTCGTATTAAAATAATCAAAATGTCTGAAAGTAGTGAAACATGCCTCTCACAAGTTCCCAGAGCCCGAGGTGACGTCTTCAAATTGCTCCCAAAACAGAGATATTTAATTTGCAATGAAATAAAACAGAGAAAAGCAGCAAAACCTCACATTAGAGAAGCTGAAAGCACCAAATATTTAGCATTTTTGCTTAATTACAGACTTATAGTGCTCTATTAACCAAAATTGATGTCCATTAATTTTCCATGGATTGAAACGTCAGCATGTTATTAAATTACTAGCCAGTAAACAAGCTGTATTTGAGTCAAGAGACTTTCTCGCTCCACAAGTCCAAGTTCATTTGTAACTGTTGAGCGTTTACCACAGCTGTAAAATGTCATGTGTGATGTCCTCGCTCCATCAGGGTGCTGCTGCTCCTGCTCTGATCAGACGGAGGTTCTGCTCCTCAGCAGGACAGCAGGCGAGACGGGTAGTTGACGAAACAGCGGAACTCATTGGACAAGTTTCTGTTGTGTTTCGGCAGGAAGCTGCACTTCTTTACATCCAGGAGCTCTGTGGCCAGCTTCTCCATGATGGCTCCTGCAGAACAGACGGGACACAAACACCTGATGTAAAAATGCTGCTCAAATAACAGGAATAAATAGAAATATAGGTGTGATATTAGTTTAAAGTGTAGAACTGCATTGTCTCATTTTTCTTAGAACAAAATCTGTTGCACACAGTATAATGTAGCTGTAAGCAGATATAAGGACATTTTAAACATTTACTAATGCAAAGTATTTTTAATTATTATATTGTCATTCGTTATCTTTTCATACAACACTTCTGATTTACTGGCAGGTGTCAGATAAATAGATAATAAATAAACAAATAAAACAACAGAACACCTGAAACATAAGGGAATTAGAGATCAGTTTCTATATTGGTACCAGAGACTGTACAGGGTATAAAGATGGACGACATGACAGCTCCCCAAAAAGTGAAGCTAAAACATCCAGATCGCCCCCTGGTGGCTGGCTGCAGTACATTCTTCTGATAAGTTTGGTTTTAATGAATTATCTGATGCTATAAAGAGGAGGTTTGACATTATGATTGACAGCTGTGATTGACTCATGATTGGGTCAGGTGGATGTATGGGCGGGACCTTGATGACTGCACAGACTCTGGCTCAAACTTGGTCTTTAAAAAATCGTACTAGACACTACTAAAAAGCAAAATATAAGATGAGTGGTATGGAAATTTTAACTTGCATGTTTCCCTATTTAATGACATTTTATAGACAAATGGTCAATCAAGAAAATAAACGACATTACAGCCCTGGTTGCAACTGGAAACAGATAAATCTTTTGTGTCATGCAGCAGATTGAATATTTTTATCCAACGGACAGAGTCTTTCAGGATCCTGGAAATACATCCAAAACTGTAGTAAATGTTACAGAGCGACGGTTGTGAAGAGACCACCAGGTATTTCTCTGTCAGAACAACAGATGCTGATCTCTGTGACTGGATAAATGAATGACACATGAGAGGCACAGACTGGAGTCATGTGCCAACACCAGAGCCGTTCCTCCTCTCACCTGTGCACAGCAGCACTTTGCCTTTACTCAGGTGCTTGATGGTTTTGGCCACTTTGCTCAGACACTCCTCGGACAGGTAGGGTGGGTCGGCGAGGACGATGTCAAAGCTCTGAGGAGCCACGTTGGCGGGAAAAGACAGCGGCTCGTTGTAATCGTAGAAGATGAAGTCGTCTCCGTAAGCGGCGAAGCGGCGGTCGTACTCCAACACGACAGCAGACACCCGGTCTGAACCGTCCACCACACCCTGCTTCAGCTTCTGGTACACACTGGGCGCACTCACACACGCTATCCTGGGAGTCAAAACAAACATTAAGACACTTAAAAGCAGTTGTGGAAGAAGCACTCAGATCTTTTTCTTTGTGTGTGTGTGTGTGTGTGTGTGTGTGTGTGTGTGTGTGTGTGTGTGTGGTTTTACCTGCCTCCCTCTCCAGCTTCACGTATGACCTCCTCTGCTAACTGCGTTGCTGTTTCATCACTGTACCAGAACTGACTCATCCGCTGGTATGTACGTACACACACACACACTGTTAGTTTATTTCAACATTTAATTGACAAAATAATTGATTGAAATAACTGATAATGAAACATTAGCTGAAGCTGTACAGTGGAGTCTGTTGCTACTGCACATAATGACAACATTACATTTACCAGTAATACAATATAGCCTCTCCTTTTTACTTCATCACTAGAGACACACACATGGAGAATCAGCTTTTCTGTCGTCTTGTCCTAAATCCATTAAACTCACCCAGTCCTCCTCCACTGCCCCCACAGCAAACTGGTCTGACGGGGTCGTGCTGTGAGCCGGACCGGTGCTGGTCTCCTTGTAAAACTCCTGCAGAGCGGCCAGAGTGTGAGCTGACAGTGTGGGAACATCGTCGTCACTGTCACTCATGGCTGGCGGAGGAGAGGAAGACGAGGAGGACGAGGAGGAGGAGGAGGAGGAGGAGGAGAACAGCTGTCCTCTAGGGATGAAGAAGGAGCAGAACACCTGAAACTAAAGGAAAAGAAAAATATTATTGATTATATCTATAATCAGTTCATTTAAGCTTGTTGGGAACTTCTTAATTATATACATCTGATATATTTTAGAGACAGTGGTGGAGGAAACACTCGCCTCTTTTATGTAAATAAAAGTATCAATACTACAGAGCAGAAATAATCTAGTAGAAGTCGTGCATTTATAATTTCACTTAAGCAAAAGTATTAGCATCCAAATATACTTGAAGTATCACAAGTAAAAGTACTCCTTATGCAGAATGGTCCATTTAAGAATATGTATTATAATATTGGATTTTAATGACTGATGCATTAATGTGTACATGTGCATCACTTTAATGTTACAGCTGTTGCAGAGAGGTGGTACTACATTTAATTAATGTTCTATTTGAATTGAAATTGTCTTAGAGAGGTGATGATTCAAATGTGATCATTCTGGAGGCTGTAGTTTGTTGACTGACTTTTCTACGTGTCACAGTCACTGTATAAATTACTTTTTTCTATTTGTTAAGTCCGTGAAATACACAATAGTACTTGAAGAATTTGCTGCAGGAGTTGAATTTCACTGTCAAATCAACGTAATAGTAATGTTTAAAAGTAACAATACTTTAAGCAACTCTTCGTTTTTCACTTTTATCTTAATTAACATTTTCAAGGAGGATTTTTACTTGTACTGGAGCACTTACAGTTTTGTATGAGTACTTTTACATCTGAATCTTTCCTCCTCCACTGTTTATATGTGACAAACTGACCCCGTTTTTTTTGTTTGTTGCTCCTTATTTTCTTGAAAACTACAGTCAACTCTGATTTAGCCCCGTGGACATTTATTCTGCTTTCACCACGTTGGTCCAGTCACAACAACAGGCGCTAAAACACTTAATATCGTTACCTGTTGTTCTGTTAATGAGCCGCTACTGAAACAAACATCACTGGTAGAGCATCCACTGATTAACACGAACAATAAGTGAACGTACCTGATCAGATACCGGTGAGTAAAATGTTGTGTTGTGACCATGTGATGTATGACAAGTCGCAGGAGGATGACGTAACTGCAGAAAGTATGGCTCTCGCGGAGGGACAAAACAGTTGAATGTGAAACGCATATAGTTAACTAATTAATAGACTTTTACGCCTTGCTATACTGTGGGGTTTTTATGCCCTACCATACTATGACTTTTTTTTGCCTTAATCTACTTTGATGTTTTTATGACTTACTATACTACGACTTTTTTATGCCTTACTGTACTATGATGTATTTATGCCTTACTGTACTATGATGTTTTTATGCCTTACTATACTATGACTTTTTTATGCCTTACTGTACTATGATGTATTTATGCCTTACTGTACTATGATGTTTTTATGCCTTACTATACTATGACTTTTTTATGCCTTACTGTACTATGATGTTTTTATGCCTTACTATACTATGACTTTTTTGACGTTTTTATTCCTTATTATACTATAATGTTTTTATGCCTTACTATACGATGATGTTTTTATGATGTTTTTATGCCTTACTATACTATAATGTTTTTAGCCTTACTATACTATGATGTTTTTATGCCTTACTATACTATGATGTTTTTATGATGTTTTTATGCCTTACTTTACTATAATGTTTTTATGCCTTACTGTACTATGGTGTTTTTATGATGTTTGTATGCCTTACTATACTATGGCTTTTTATGCCATATTGTACTATGATGTTTTTATGCCTTACTATACTATAATGTTTTTATGACGTTTTTATGCCTTACTATAACTATGATGTTTTTGTGCCTTACTATACTGATTTTTTATGCCTTACTATAATATGACTTTTTTATGCCTTACTGTAATATGATGTTTTTATGCCTTACAATACTATGACTTTTTTATGACATTTTTATGCCTTACTATACTGTGACTTTTTTTATGCCTTACTGTAATATGACTGTTTTATGACTTACTATTGTGACTTTTTTATGACATTTTTATGCCTTGACTTTTAATGACGTTTTCATGCCATACTATAATATACATTTTTATGCCTTACTATATTGTGACTTTTTATGCCTTACTATACTATGACTGTTTTATGACTTACTATTATGACTTTTTTTAAGACTCACTTTTACATACCGTGGTGTTGTGCTTTGCGTGCTGGTGTACCCTCTGCCCTCCCCTTTTCTCTAACAGGTGAATCGGCACAGCTGTCCCCAATTCCCAATCGGGAGCCAGAGTTGAAAGGCAGGGTGGGGAGGCCGAATGGTCCATTTGTTTCCTTGTGAGAGAGCTGTGCAGAGCTGTAGAGATTGTCACTATTGATATTCTACCTTTTTGTTTGGTGATTGTTGTTAGTTAGTTCTGTTATTGTTACTTTGTGTTACCCAGTGCTCTACTGTCTGGTTTTCGTTGTAGTTTTCTTTTGTGTGTGAATAAAATCTGACTTTTTGTCTGAATCTGTGTCCCTGTATCTTTTAGTTTTGCCAGGTTTACATATTGCATCATTGTAACTTCCCCCTTCCCCTGGATTCTCACAGGGAACGTAACACTCACTATGACTATTCATTACATTTTACGCCTTGCTATACTATGAAGTATTTTGACGTTTTTATGCCTGACTATATTATGACATTTTTTGACAATTTATGCCTTGCTATACAATGACGTTATATGACTTACAATTCTATGACGTATTTTGACATATTTTGACGTTTTTAAGCCTTACTATATTATGACGTTTTTTGACATACTCTACTATGACATTTTTATGCCTTACTATACTAAGACATACTATGATGTTTTTATGCCTTACTATACTATGAAGTTTTTTCCACATTTTTATGCCTTACTATACTATGACGTTTTTTCCACATTTTTATGCCTTACTATACTATGACGTTTTTTGTCATACTATACTATGACGTTTTTTCCACATTTTTATGCCTTACAATACTATGACGTTTTTTGACTTTTTTATGCCTTACTATATTATGACGTTTTTTGTCATACTATACCGTGACGTTTTTATGCCTTACTATACTATGACATTTTTTTCCACATTTTTATGCCTTACTATACTATGACGTTTTTTGACTTTTTTACGCCTTACTATATTATGACGTTGTTTGTCATAATATACCATGACGTTTTTATGCCTTACTATACTATGACGTTTTTTTCACATTTTTATGCCTTACTATACTATGATGTTTTTTTCACATTTTTATGTCTTACTATACTATGACGTTTTTTCACATTTTTATGCCTTACTATACTATGACCTTTTTTTATCATACTATACTATGACGTTTTTATGCCTTACTATACTATGACGTTTTTTGACATTTTTATGCCTTACTATATTATGACGTTTTTTGTCATACTATAC